TAAGCACACCAAATTAGACAGTAAACTATGTGTAAGTGTAAAATAATATTTTTATATTAATTGCATTTGTCATTGAGAGTGAGTCAAAGCTAGATGTAGTGTGTTTAGCCGACCATACCAACAGGTATGGTAGGGTATTAAGATCGGCAAAAAAAAGTTTTTTAATTTCACTCAAAATGAGTTATTTGGGTCATAAATGACCTAAATACAAAATATTTTCACGCTGTCTGTCCGTCTGTCCGTCTGTAACACGATAACACAAAAAGCGCTAAACCGATTTTAACCAAATTTGGCACAAAAATACTGTGGCAACCCGAGAATCTGGCCATTAGTTTTTGGTGGGGGTGGAGGGTTGGTAAGGGGGTATGGGAGGGGGTTAAAATTTTAAAAAAATCTACAATAGTACTCTACTCTAAAATTACAGTAGCTAGCGAAACGCGGTTTTCAATTTAAGATTAGGAATAATATTTGCAACAAAATTTGTAATAACATCAAAATCAGTCAAAGTCGCAGTTTTTGAGATATTCCGTGTTTTCGTAGTCCGTTTTTGAGAAAATCCGTGTGGAGAACTCCAAACTCCCATCGAACGCACCCCAGGTGGCGGATAGGGGAAATAACCGCAGACCAAAATTGGAAAAATTCCTTTACTTTAAAACTAAAAGAACTACCTACCAACATTTACTAACATATTTTAGCATGGGCGGCTATACGTGTCTCCCGGCGCCAATTTTTATCCTTTATTTGAAATGGAAGACGCTATGATATAAATGAACCTAGTTCTTATCCAACTTCAATTTTCGAAAAATAAATTCTTTTTATCCAAAATTGGTTTCACTATGCTAATTTTCCGTTTTATAAAGATTATTTTCAGCTGCACTAGCAAAATAAATCGCATTTATTCTTTCGCAAAGTAAAATAGTTGTGTAAAAAAGTGCAAGACCGCAAGAGTCTTGCACGTTGATTTTGGTTTTGCGTCAGCCTTGGTAGACCGCAACTTTACTTTACTTTTTGATGTTGGTCTTGCACAAAAAGTAAGACCACGACCAATACTGACGCAAGACCAAGACAAGTCGCGCTCATCACTAGATTTGAAGAAACCATATAGATGTCCTCAAACAGTATACCGTTGAAGTGGACAATATTGCATCAGTCTTACAGTAAATATGAGCGCCACTAATTTAACCTAACATCTATCAACAAAGAGATGAAACCGATCGTTTTTATCAGACTGGTTCGCCTATATTACAACCAACCCAAACTACTTGTAAACAGACACACTTCATTATAGTTGGTCAAACAGCGTGGCGAAAACGTTAATTCCACAGCCGCCTCCGCCGCCGCCGAAGTCGACGGACGCCCCTCGGGGGGCGTGCACCGCCGAATTCGGTGCCGATGCATCGTTTCAAGGCCGACTCTTGGCGCATTATTTCGGATGCTGATCGGCGTGGACCGGATGCGACGTCCACGAATACCAGTTCTGCTCTTTCAAATTTCATTTACGTAAAAATATTTAAACCTAATCCCGAGCTTCAGGAAAATATTTTAACTTCTACAGGGTGGCCCAAAAAAGTGTGAATGGATCGAGATGATTTTTTTAAATGGAACACCCTATATATTATTGCATTTTTGGCTTCCTTTCAAATAACTCTACATAGTCCTAAGATACGAGTAAGATATGAGTAAATATAAATATTTCGATAATTTCAGAGGTAGTAATAAATAAATAAAAAATATATATTTTTCAGCCAATCTAAAAAAAATATTAAACATACACGAACTGTCCTAAAATCAAAACTATATTAGGCATTTACTTTAGATAGTCTGTACTTGCTTTGCTATAAATATTGTAATCTTAAATCATACAGGGTGTTCAAAATTCTACGCCAAACTTTATAGAGTATAAAATATTTTTTTTTTGTTTTTTCTTTAAATGTACACCCTGTATATTACTATTTTAAAAGACGGAGAATTAAAAAAATGAACGCTTTTTGCATTTAGAGTAATTCAAAATTTTTAACGGTGTCGTGGATATTCGCGGTTTTATATTTGATAAAACACCCTGTATGCTTTAAGATTACGATATTTATAGCAAAGTAAGTACCTCCAGACCATCTAAAGTAAATACATATAATAACGTAAGTAAATACATAAGTAAATACTATAATAAAGTAAATATAGTTTTGATTTCAAGACAGTTACTGTATATTTATTATTTTTTTTAAAAAGGGTGAAAAAACTACATATTTTTAGTTTGAACTTAAAAAAAATTCCAAAGTTTTTATGTTAAGAGCTACAGTTGCCCGACGCACTATTGCCGGATCCTGTATACAGGGTATTTCAAAAAACATGTATCATCTAGTAACTTTTATCATTCGAATTACTAAAAGCATTTGGAATAAAATTGTAATAAATCGAAAAAAAAAATGAAGACAGCCCCCTATACCGGGTGCGTCTCAAAAGTGGCTCACCCCTATAACTTTTTTTATATCTTCAGATAAAAAAAACGAGACTTGGTTGGTTAGTATATGACATAAATTAGGATTGATTGACGTATTCAATTGTTTTCGGTCACTTCCTGTTTCACCGGATATGACTCCAACTTTTGAATTTTAAATGGCACCCTCGGTATTTTTGTACTTTATTCGATAGAAAAAGACATTCTGAATATAATGACATATCATATGTCAACTTTTGACATATTCGCTTAAAACGAAATTGAATTTTAAATTTCAATCTAGAGTGCCATGGCTATGTTAAAAACACTAATTCTTAATCAAGGAGCCTTGGAAAAATAGATTTGATCGTCTAATGTTTTAGTGCCTTGTCCTGGCCAGTTAGAAAATGCTCAAATCGTATTTTTAATCGTATCTCAATTTTTTCAAATGGAACGAGGGTGCCTCATTAGCATATTTGAGAAAAGCATTTTTTTACGAATAATTTGATACCACACACTTGGTATTTCGAGTCAAATTTTCGTGACGAACCGCAAGTTATTATTTCAAATACACCATATGCCAAAATGTCAAAAGTTGTCATATGATATGTCATTCTATTCAGAGTGTTATTTTCTTTCGAATAAAGTAAAAAAATACCGAGAGTGCCATTTAAAAATCAAAAGTTGTAGATAATTCCGGTGAAACAGGACCGAAAACAATTGAATACGTCAATCAATCCTAATTTATGTCATATACTAACATGCCAAATCTCGTTTTTTTAACTGAAAAAATAAAAAAGTTATAGGGGTGAGCCATTTTTGAGACGCACCCGGTATATACGAAACAAAGCAACATCGGACCTATGTTGATATAAAAAATAAATCTTATTTTTATGTGAGGAATGTCATCATGTCATCAAGAAAGATGGCATATGTTTTTTGAAACACCTAAATACAGGGTGTTTCTTAACCTTCATAGCACCAAGTGGAGTAATAAAAGGTACACCAGTCATATCTTTTTCACTATAACTTTTCAAAAAGTAATTTTTGTTACGTGCCCAGCTATCTTTTATTTACGACTCAATAAATATGTTAAAATATAGATTGTTTCTGTTTAGACTTTTTGAATTATTATGAATACTTTTGTCTACTGGGGTAGATTAGAGTTGGAGGTGGAATCTTTGGTGTCACAACCGCAAAATAAAACACTAAATCACCAAAATACACCAACGGTTTACAAAAACAATTCTGCTCATGTCATGGTAAGCGAAACGCGCGTCCAGTGCAAAAGTAAAAGTGTTTTGGTGTATTGTTGTGAATTACTGTTTTATTTTGCCTTTGGGGTAGATCTGTAACCCGTTCTGGATATTCCTGCAACAATGCCTTTAAATGATGGACACTCAAAAATCCCGAATGGAGGCAGATCTCTTTTTTACGTAAAAAACTGCAGACATGTATATTTTTTCACTCAGTAATTTTATACAGACATACGGACGAAAACTTATTACTCTTCAAACCAATTAAAAAATATGTAGATGCCGTCCCCTACATATAGGTGAGTCATATTCACACGACATCAATTTCTCGTGTCAAAAAATAAACTCACTAATTTTCATCTATCGATGTTAGTTCAGAAATTACTTGGAAAAAATTGAAATAAAAATGAAACTGCTATACCCTGTAGGAACGGGGAATTTCGGTACAACGCCTAATGAGATCGAGTTTTTTCGGTACTTTCGTTACTGACTAATTTTTGTTCAATGGTGATGCAGTTCATCCATCAGAAAGCAAGGGATGGTTTTTCAAAGTAAAATGGATAAAAAATTGAGATTTTTAATGAAAATAATATCAAATCATTAAGTAATCAGTCATGAAAAAATTAGCATGATGAACACAATTAAAGAAAAAAGTATAGTTAACTTAAATTTCACACCAAACAACATAAACCAACTTAACTGAATTTGAGACAAAAGCCCGAAACAGATAATATTGAATTAAAAATGCAAATATCTATTAAAACATAATATAATAAATATTATAGGAACTTCAAAAGAGAAAAGAAACAAGAACAATAAGAAATACCGTATGATCGAATAAAAACGGCGTCCAGTTGGCTTGGAAATGACGATCGATGACATTTCCCATATAAATTTACATATAAAATGACAGCGATCTTCATTTCATAGCCATCGCTGACGCCGTTTTTATTCGATCATACGGTAGCATCATTACTTATTTAGAAGAGTTTGATTTCGACCGCTAAAAAGTATCAAAGGACTTTCTCACGTAACAAAAAAATATTTAATTAAGTAATGGCCAAAAGATCTGAACCCTAAATGGTAGTTTTAATTAGAATTTTTCTAGAACCGTACTAAAATATTTTCGTTCAACGACTGTCGAGTTCGTCAATTAGCAAGCAAGAGATGGTTCTCAAAAGTAAAACCGATAAAAAATTGAGTTTCAAATGAAAATAATATCAAATTATTAAGTCATGAGAAAGTAAACATGAACACAAATAATGAACACAAGCAAAAAAAAGAAAACACATAGGTAACTTAAAAATTACTGTTGTAGATTGAACTATTTCTTCGTTGATAGTATTACTCAGAGGTATTACTATTGCAATTAAAAACTTGTATTAAAACAGCGGACGTATTACTGACTACTTTATTGTTCCGCCATCTTCTTTTTTCACTTTTGACAGACGACTCTCAATCTTAAGGTCGTCCCACACGTACAATAACTAAAGGTAACTTTACACATAAAAATAGGAAAACAGAAAACAATAAAAACACTGAATGACCACTAAACATGCCCCCGGCCTTGAAAGAGTCAGCTTTCAACCTCAATCGGCAATACACAAAACTTAGCAAAACTCCGTTTCACAGTTCCACTTGATGTCTTGATAGTAGCTACTCGAGCGATGCCGTCTGATCCTGGATGAAGTAAGACGATTCTACCGAGTTTCCATTGAAGTGGATGAGAGTGGTCATCTCTGAGAACAACAAGAGACCCAACTTGAAGTGCTGCTTGCTGAGTTTTCCATTTGGTGCGTAACTGAAGCTCGCTAAGAAACTCACGAGTCCAGCGGGACCAAAAATGTTGTTGGCACTGCTGCATCAGCTGGTATCTTGAAAGGCGTGACGTTGAAATGTCTCTAAGGTCTGGATCGGGAAGTGATGTTGCCGGTTGTCCGATAAGGAAATGAGAAGGGGTTAAAGCGGATAGGTCATTGGGGTCTGAGGACATGGGAGTGATTGGACGAGAGTTTAGGATTGCTTCAACCTCTGCCAATATAGTGCAATACTCTTCAAAAGTAAGTTTTACGCTACCGATTATTCGAGTCAAGTGTCTTTTAGCCGACTTAACACCGGCTTCCCAAATTCCTCCGAAGTGAGGTGAGAATGCGGGTATGAAGTGCCAATTTACGCCAATATTAGATATACTATCTTGTAAAGAATGTTCTTGCGATTTTAAAAATTGAGATAATTCTCGTAACTCTGAATTGGCTCCTACAAAATTTGTTCCGTTGTCGGAATAAACATTACTTGGCTTACCACGGCGTGCTACAAACCTCCGGAAGGCAGCAATGAAGGCATCCTTTGATAAGTCACTCACCAATTCTAAATGAGTGGCCTTGGTCACAAAGCACACAAATAGCGCAATATACGCTTTAGAAACCTTGGCTCCTCTTCCCTTTTTTGAACTCAAATATACTGGACCTGCGTAGTCTATGCCAGTATTATAAAAGGGTGGAGCAGGAGTAACACGCGCTTTTGGAAGATTACCCATGATTGGAGAAGGTTGCAGTGGTTTGCAGCGGTAGCATTTTATGCAGGAATGAACAATTTGTTTAGCCAAATTGCGACCAGCCAGTGGCCAATAACGTTGACGAATTGAATAAAGCAGTTGTTGTTGTCCAGCATGGAATAATCTTAGATGCTCGTGTCTAAAAAGCAATTTTGTAAGATGGTGCTTGGACGAAAGAAGTATTGGATGTTTGACATCAAAACTAAAATTTGATTGACTAAGACGTCCACCAACACGTAAAATACCCTCATCGTCTAGAAAAGGATTTAAAGAAAGAAGCTTAGATTGCCTTGGCAACGCATGACTCCTTTGCAACGTTTGAATTTCTTCTGCAAAATCATCCTTTTGAGATATCGTAATAAGGTATCTAAGAGTATCAGATAAATCCTTTGCCTTGAAAGGTTTAAATTGCTTGTCAGTGGGATTTCGACAATTGTATATGAATCTAAGACAATAAGCGACCACCCGTTGAAGTTTCATTAAGTTTGAAAATTTATTAATATTAATCCAATTTGAAGTTTGAAAAGCTGCGAGAATTATTTTTTGTTTCTTAACTTCTGGGAGTTCTCCTTCAAAAGTAGCTGCAGAATAGGGCCATTGATCTTTAGGTTGGCTAAGCCATTGTGGGCCATTCCACCACATAGTACAATCCAAAAGAGCCCTAGGCAAAATACCTCGGGAAAGAAAGTCTGCAGGATTGTCGGCGGTTCGAACATGATGCCATTGGTTAGGTTGTGTTAACCTTTGTATTTGAGCGACTCTGGTTTGAACAAAAACTTGCAAAGTACTTGGAGAAGTACGAATCCAGGCAAGAGAGACAGTGGAATCGCACCAAAGAAATATATCATCAAAAGTAAAAGTCATTGAATTTTTCACTCGATCAACTAGCTGTGCTAACAAGAGAGCACCGCACAGTTCTAATCTTGGAATTGTTAACGATTTTAGAGGACTAACCCTACTTTTAGCTGTCAAAAGCTTTACCTGAATCTCTCCGCTGGAAGATATACTACGAATGTATAGACATGCGCCATATGCTTGTAAAGAGGCATCGGCAAACCCGTGTAACTCCAACTTAACGATTGACGTATTTGAAACAAATCTGGGTATTTTTAAAATGTTAAGTACTGGTAGTTCTTGCCGTAATTGCCGCCATTGATTGTCTATAGTAGCTGGAAGAGACTCATCCCAGTCAAGCTTTAAGGACCAAAGTGATTGAAGAAGAATTTTTCCTAAAATGATACATGGGCCCAAGAGTCCCAAGGGATCAAAAATCTGAGCTATATCAGACATTATAGTACGCTTGGTAAACTTATTTAAACTGATAAAATCAGCAATAGTGTACATTAGCTGATCGTCTTCATAAGACCAATACAAACCTAGAATCTTGGTTCGTTGATCCTTGCCAATTTTAAGAATAGTAGAAGGATTTTGAATGTGCTGAAGAATTTTGGTACTATTAGTTGCCCATTTTTGAAGTTGAAAACAGCCTGAAGAAAGTATTTTTGAAATTTCGTCACATATTGTTAACGCCTCACTTTCTGAATTGCAACTTATCAACAAATCATCCATATAGAAATTGGATGCCACGAAATGAGATGATTGTGGGAATATTTTGGAATAATCTATGGTCAATTGCTTTAAACATCTTGTAGCTAACCAAGGAGCTGATGCAGTACCGTAAGTTACTGTTTGTAATTCGAAAGTTTTTAATTCCTCTGAAGAATCGAAACGCCATAGAATATTTTGGAGATGTTTTTGTGATCTATGAATCTCTATCTGCCGATACATTTTAACAATATCCGCACAGATGACAATAGGCCCCTGTCGGAATCTTAATAAAATGGAAAAAAGATTATCCTGAATGGTAGGACCAACTAGCTGCAAACTATTAAAAGAAATTCCATTATCAGTTTGTGCCGAGCCATCGAACACAACCCTAAGCTTAGTAGTTTGATTATTTTCGTTAACAACTGCATGATGTGGCAGAAAACCAGAATTAGAATGTTCGTCAATTTTAGATATTTCTCGCATATGACCAAGTTGAATATATTCGTTCATAAATGCTGCATATTCTTCCTTTAACTTTGGTTCACGATTCAATTTCTTCTCCAAAGAATAGAATCTTTTGGTAGCAATTTCACGAGAATCACCTAGAATAATAGGATCGCATTTTAAGGGAATATGAACAATAAATCTACCGTCGTCTTTTCGCTCGGTTGTTTTAGAAAATATGTCCTCGCAAAGCTGTTCATCTGAGGAGAATTTCACATTTGAACCAGGTGGAACAGTTTCTTCGACTTCCCAGAACCTTTTCAATAAAGAATAGATTTCGTCGTTTGAACTTGTACTAAAATTGCACATGGATTGCGCAGCAATAGGATCATTGTATAATTTTCCAGAGACTACCCATCCTAGAACAGTTTTTTGTAACGTAGGTAAATTAGGTCCTAAGCGGAACTGACCAATGCATAATAAATTGTAGAACCATTCAGCACCAATTAGAATATCAATCTTTGAAGAAACCGATAAACCAGGATCAGCTAACCTCAAATTGGAAGGAATATTTAAATTTGAAAGGTCGAATGACTGGAATGGTAAACCTTTATTAATTGTAGGTAGAAGTAAACATGAAATATCAGCTTTGAATGAGTTATGCATGGACACTACAGTAATATTGCATCGCTGTTTGATTTGAAAAGGAGTTTGAACGATACCCGAAACAGAAATACTTACTGGAAATGTCTTTAGACCTAATCTCTTACATGTATCTTCTGTAATAAAATTGGATTGGGACCCAGAATCTAATAAAACTCTGCATGTTTGAAAATATCCCTTTGAATTTTTAATTTGAACTAGTGCTGTAGATAATAGAATATTATCCGAAGCAATGCTTGAAGTTGCAGAAAATGCGTTATTTGATGAAGTTGTTGGACGCTCTGGTCTTGAATTTACTTGAAAGTCGTTATGAAGAATTGTATTATGCTTTTGAGTACATTTTTTGCAATGTCCTGCTAGGCAATTGTTGATCGTATGAAAACCGCGTAAACAATTTAAGCATAATTTTCGATTCTTAAGCTGATTAAGACGATCTTGAGTTGAAAGCTTTAAAAAATCATTGCAATTTTGTATATAATGATTTGAACCCTTGCAAAAAATGCATTCAGTTTTGAACTTTGTTGAAATTTGATATGAATGAGATTGTATCTTGACCTCTTTGGTCATTAAAACTGTTTCTAAGAAATCGGCTCTTGAACGTAAAAAATCTTTGAATGTTTTTAATGTCACCGTATCCGAATTGCCCTGAGTTGTCGCTGCTTTAACTTGCTCCCATGCTCGAAGTGTTGATTTGTCTAACTTATGACTTAATACAAAAACAAGAAGTGTGTCCCAGTGCTCAACCGGTTGATTTAAGTTTTTTAATGAGCACAAATGCTTAGAGAGGCTATCTAACATTTTTCTTAAGTCACTTGCTGACTCTTTAGATAATGTGGGCATTTCGAATATGGCTTTGACATGATTGTTTACCAGAACGCTATTGTTATTATACCTTTGAAGTAAAGAATTCCACGCTATCTGGTAATTGTCAGCCGAAAATTCTATAGAACGAATAACTTGCATGGCACCGCCGTCCAATGCTGCCCTCAGGTAGTGAAATTTTTGAATGTTTGTTATACTTGAATTTTCATTGATAAGTGAATCGAATGTATCTCGAAATTCTAACCAATTATCGTAACAACCTGTAAATTTCGGTAATTTTATTTCTGGTAATTTTACATTGAAATCATTTTTATTATTGTTACTTGAGCCTACATCAAAGTTACTTGAATTACTCGATTCGCTATGAGAATTTGGAATTACCTTGTCAAAGATGCTTAAGAATTCCTTGCACTCAACTAATAAACTAAAATAATTTTTCTCAAAAGTTTCTCTTTCCAACGTTTGTGTATCTAAATCATCTGAACTTATCTCTATCTCTGTTTGAACTATCTCGTATTCTTGTATTAATTTCTCATATTTTTCTAAACGTAACTTTAATTCAGCAATCTTAAACCTTTCACGATCGGTAGGCGAAGTATCTTGAAAGGATTCCTTTAGGGTTTTAAAATATTTTTCAAATAATGTATGTCGTTGTTTGAAAACTCTACGTTTCCCTAAAAGAACCCTTGTCTCCTCGTTTTGCATTTTGATATTAAAACCTATTAATAAGAACTTGGAGCAAACCTATCTTCCCGTTGAAAGAAAAGGATAATAAAGGTAAATAGGAACGGACTCACCGGCAATTTGCGTCGTCGTTTTACCAATCCCGGGCACGGCTCTCAAAACGTATTTTTTTTCTGCTTTCGTCGATGTGTCCTCCCCTTTTCCGATGCAGTTGGACCAGTCCACTCTTCGCACCGCTTTTACTACGCAACTCCCCTATTCTGGATCGTCTTGCGCAAATGGACTCGTCCGGCTTCGACCTTGAACGATAGAAATTGATCGGAAAAGTATGGATTTTCTTTGAATCTTTGAAATAATTGAAGATTTCACCCAGCTATCCGGCTCGAAGGACCAAATATGTTGTAGATTGAACTATTTCTTCGTTGATAGTATTACTCAGAGGTATTACTATTGCAATTAAAAACTTGTATTAAAACAGCGGACGTATTACTGACTACTTTATTGTTCCGCCATCTTCTTTTTTCACTTTTGACAGACGACTCTCAATCTTAAGGTCGTCCCACACGTACAATAACTAAAGGTAACTTTACACATAAAAATAGGAAAACAGAAAACAATAAAAACACTGAATGACCACTAAACAATTACATCAAACAACATCAACCAACCTCGAAACCAACTTAACTAAATTTGAAAAAAAACTAACATTTTCAATTAAAGATGCAAATGCCAAATGCCTATAGAAACATAACACAAAAAATATAACTATAATACATTCAGCAATATTATACTAAATAATAAAATAACATATTTAAACTTCAATAATTAATAAACAATATAGAAAGTTCAAAATAACTTCAGACGTAAGAACAATAAGAGATAGAATTACTACTTATTTTGAACAGTTTGATTTCGACCGCTAGAAAGTATCAAAAGTCTTTCGCACGTAACAAAAAATACGTTTTTAATTATTATTACCGAGTCCCGAAAGTACCGAAAGAACCGGGAATTAATAATTTCGAGTCCCGGTTCTTTGATGTCTCAAAAGAACCGGGAATTTCCGGTAATTTCGGTACCAGGATTTCCCGGTTCTGAACCCTACCCTGTATCTCCAAGAGGAAGCATTTTAGGACATAATTTTTTTTTTACTTATTTTTACCTGCAGAGTAAGCTGCCGAAGTTCTCGAATACAATTCAAACCACCGTGTATAATGATATAGGTACCAAACAAATAATTTATTTCAGTCATTTACATCTGTTATTAATTGGCGTAAAAGCTGATTTAGAATTAAGTATATGTTTTCGTTTTTAAGTTTTTAATCTTCATCACTTTATGTTAAAACCGTATGATCGAAAAAAAAGGCGTCCAGTTGGCTGAGAAATGACGATAGATGACATTTCCCATATAAATTTACATATAAAATGACAGCGATCTTCATTTCATAGCCATCGCTGACGCCGTTTTTTTTTTCGACCATACGGTAGTATTTTTAATGTTATTGTAAACTAATGAAACACAGATATCGATAGCAAACCATTCAAAAATACGATATTGTCGAATCTGTGCCCCATAAACCGACCAATTGATGCCGTAATAAGAAAAGTAACAAAGAATTTTAATTTAAGCGCGGGCCGGTATAACGAGTTCTGCAACCTTGAACTTGGCAGTAAGGTTTCGTCGGATCGTGTCATGAGCCTTTGCTCAAAAAAGCCATAAACAAAAGAAATAATAAACACATTTTAATAAATGATCACGCGCGCTAGTCTTTCTTCCCTCGCCTCGGCTTGTTCGCAAGCCGGATTTGATGCTCGTATCGTAGAGTGTGTAAATCTTGATCCGAATATGTGGGTGTCTCACTAGGTCACCTATAGTGTGTCTAGATAGATGTGTCTGTCATTTTAATTTCAAAGTAGTTTAGTTTATTTTTCAAAGATATAAGTTGGTACAATTTGTAAGAAATAAGTTAGTACAAAGTGCCTTCAAAATATGATGAGAAAAACAACAATATCTAATCGAGATATTTTATTTAAAAAATCTATGTATTTTAGAGTGTGGGCATGGTACAAAGAATACAAGGTATGATCGATAGCGGCTCCAATTTCGTTCAGTTCGCGCATACCACCTGTGACGTCACTAGGAAAATAATGAATAAATAAAAAATAATGAAAGTTGACAGGAGATCTGCATTTTTGGGGTTATGGTTAAGAATTGTTTATTTTTAAGACTTTTTAGTTCGTTTAATTTAATAATTACTAAAACCAGCAGTTCCAAAAATATATTTAAAAATAATAATTATCTATTAACATGGATTTGGACGATAGGTAAGAATACTAAATTTATTTCTATATTCGGTATAAAATTGTTTATTAGGTTTTTAGTTTGCGATGTTTATGGTAAATAATTTTCATTTTCATTGCCTCTGAATTCACATGAGGACAGAGTTGAGGATATCTATGGAAAAGTAACCACAAGAGGAATTGTTACATCATTTAAAAAATATTGGGAAGTTTATTGTTTCCCATCGAAAAGTAGAAAATGCCAATGCAGATGAACGTATTGTAATTGTGATAGAAGTAATTCTAAGGGTGAAGTTTATTATAATTAGTGGAAGTAATACCAAGGGTGAAGTTTATTATAATTAGTGACCTCTGCTTCTTTTTATATGTAGAAGTTTCTGGTTTTGAGAATAAATCGGTTGAACGACACCCAAAATTTAAAGGAAGTATTTGCATACCCAGAATATGCCCATCAAGGATTATATAGCTCAAATTTCCTTTAATGGTAGGCAATTATTCAATGCAAATTAACTTTTTAAGTGACTAAAATATTAAATAGTTTACAATATGGTATATCACTAAAAATATATTACTTTTAGGTACAATTAGGGCCCGATACATTTCAAAAAGTAGAATATTATTTTATATTAAATGAGGTATTGTACTAACAATCAATTTATATTAATAACGGAGATTAAAAAATAACAGAATAAATAGTTCTTTTTTTATACTACAAAAATAAACTATAGAATACAACAGTATTTAAAAAAATAAATAAAAAGTGATGTTCCGGCCGAGATTCGAACTCCGGTCTCTCGCTTCCTAGCCCGACTCCTTATGCACTGCTCCCAATACTGCTCCACAGTAACTTGCTTAGCGATAATTCAATGGCGGTATATAAACAAAAAAAACAGGTTTATAACAATATCTTGACGATTTGAACTGGCGCGCGGAGCGTGCTGACCAATAGCGCCTGTTATCACCTGTGACGTAGCGACCAACCTGCGCAATATCATACCTTGTATTCTTTGTACCATGGAGTGTGGGTATTAACCAAAACACCATATTATACAAAGAATCTATAAAAAAGAACCATTTCTTACTTTTTTAAACTTCAAGACTTCAAGAAACTTCATGTATTTATTATTGTATTTATCAATATCTATAACTTCATATCATCTTCATCATTTTCAGTTTATTCAACCATTTCGAATTATGGTGTAGCCTTCCTCACATACTCTCTTTGTAGTTGGGTCCATTATTGTCTATTGTTGGCTATGCGGGCCCAAATTACCCCTGCTAATTTCCTAATATCATGGACCTATCTCAGGATCGGTCTTCTTCTAGGTCTCTTAATTCATAATTTCTCGTGAGTATATACAGGGTGGCGCACCTCATTCGCCTCAGTTGATTATACGTAAATGGAAAGATGTAGAAACAAAATATTTTATGGGTATATGTGGGGAGGCAAAGTGCACAATTTAAAATTATTTTGAAATATACAGGGTGTCTCAGAACTAAGATTCATACCAAAGTTATATTTTTTCTTATGGAACACCCGGTATTTTATTTCATTTTTGGATTCTTCGGCTCAAAAAAAAAGTATTTATTATAAGGGTTAAATATGTTTAAAATCATTGGATTTGAGATATTTAAAGATATTTAAATATGCATGCTACAAGAGAATTGATTATTAACACCCTGTACATTACTTTTCAGAATTAATTCTTGTGCTGAGTTTAAAGGTAAAGAAATAAACTTTACTGAAAAATGTTATGTTTCCTTAAATTTATACAGGGGTTCCAAAAAGTAGTGATCTTTTTTACGGATTTATTTTACATAAAAACTTTGTTATTTCAAATGCAACGCCCTCTATTTTTTAAATAAATCAAAGCAGATTCAAATGCTCTTTCAAACTATATTAGGGTTTCCCATACCTATCTATCTCAGATTTTGAATAAAAAGCGATTTTTAAATAAAATGGCAATCAAGATGGCTGTTATCGCCATGGCAATTTTCTAGTGATACTAACTATTTTCAAAATCGACATTGGTGTATGGACATTATTATTTAAACAGTTTACTAAAATTTACCCACAATAGTTTAATAAGTAAGTATTCTTTATTTTATGAAGAAAAATAAAGCCATATCTGCTGGTGGAACGAATGGATATGTTACTAGTGATTTTGTTTTGTGGAATATAGGAATATTCCTGATAAGCGTTCCTTTGAAAAATTACTTGTCCTATTTCCTATTTCGCAGAATTGGTAGTGTAGTTAAAAAAACCTATTAGGCAGAAACCTGTCATTGGAAGTGAAGAAATTGAATTTGTCTAATTGGATCTTTTATAAAAAATTCACGTATCTCCAAGTTATCGTAAAATAATACAAAGAACTACTTCGTTTTTTATATAGAATAATAAATACATATTAATAAATATTATTTATTAAACTATTGTAGGTCAATTAAATAAAAGTAAACTGGTATAAATTTAAATAAAGTCTATAATCTAATGTCGATTTTCAAAATAGTTACCAACTGTCACTAGAAAATTGCCATGGCGATACCAGGCATCTTGATTGCCATTTTATTTAAAAATCGCTTTTTATTCAAAATCTGAGATAGATAGGTATAGAAAACCCTAATATAGTTTGAAAGAGCATTTTAATCTGCTTCGATTTATTTAAAAAAATACAGGGTGTTGCATTTGAAATAACAAAGTTTTTATGTAAAATAAATCCTTAAAATAAATAACTAATTTTTAGTACCCCTGTATAAATTTAAGGCAGCAATAACATTTTTCAGTAAAGTTTATTTCTTTGCCTTTAAACTCAGCACAAAGATTAATTCTGAAAAGTAATGTACAGGGTATTGATAATCAATTCTCTTGTAGCATGCATATTTAAATATCTTTAAATATCTCAAAAACCAATGATTTTAAACATTATGTAACTTTTTTAATAAATGTCTTTTTGGGCCCAAGAATCCAAAAATAAAATAAAATACGGGAGTGTTCCATAAGAAAAAATATAACTTTGGTATAGATCTTAGTTCTGAGACACCCTGTATATTTCAAAATAATTTTAAATTGTGCACCTTGACTCCCCACATGTACCCATAAAATATTTTGTTTCTACATCTTTCCGTTTTCGTATAATCAACCGAGGCGAATGAGGTGCGCCACCCTGTATATATAAAGCAGAGGTCGTACAGCTTCTGCCGCATCCCGCATTTCGACCTCCATATTGTTCGATTTTGCCATTCTTCCTGGTTAATAGCTCTATCTCTCATGTACTGGTCTACTCCATCTAACCACGTAGTTGTAGGTCTTCCTCTTTTCCTTCTGCTTTGGTGACGATACTCCATTGCCCTTTTTGGCCATCTTTCCCCTCCCATTCTTTTTGCGTGCCCAAACCATATTAGCTGTCTCGACTCGATATTGTCGGTGCTGGTATATATTCGTCTTGTTCTTTGCCTGATCTCCTCATTTTTAATGTGCTCCATCTTTGATATTCGACACGCTCTTCTGAGAAAGTCCATCTCCACTGACTCGACCAACCTTCTTTCTTTTGATGTAAAATGCCAGCATTCGTCACCGTATGTTAAAATGAGCTCTACCATTGCTTTGTAAATCCTTAGCTTTGTTTGAATGGATGTTTTATTTGACCACAGGAGAGGGTTTAAAAGACCGATTACTTTCTTACCTTGTTGACCTCTACTATGTATATCTTTCTTAGAATCCCCCCCTTCATCAGATATAATACTTCCTAAATATTTATATTTGCTACACCTTTTAATTTCATGTATGTGTAGTTCAGGATCTTCAGTTTGTTCTTCTCGTACTTTCAGGTATTCGGTTTTTGTGAGGTTGATATTGAGTCCACATCTATCATATTCTTCCTCAAGTTTCCTGAACATATAGTCGGCATCCTCCTCACAATCTGCAATGATAACTTATATAATACTTATATTAATAAATATTGTTTATTAAACTATTGTAGGTCAATTAAATAAAAGTAAACTGGTATAGATTTAAATAAAGTCTATAATCTAATGTCGATTTTCAAAATAGTTACCAACTGTCACTAGAAAATTGCGATGGCGATACCAGGCATCTTGATTGCCATTTTATTTAAAAATCGCTTTTTATCTAAAATCTGAGATAGATAGGTATAGAAAACCCTAATATAGTTTGAAAGAGCATTTTAATCTGCTTCGATTTATTTAAAAAAATACAGGGTGTTGCATTTGAAATAACAAAGTTTTTATGTAAAATAAATCCTTAAAATAAATAACTAATTTTTAGTACCCCTGTATAAATTTAAGGCAGCAATAACATTTTTCAGTAAAGTTTATTTCTTTGATTCAGTCGATAGACAGTGGTTGTTCAAGTCGATAGACAGTGGTTGTCAATCTCTATTCCCGTAGCTCTACTCTTCCTTCTCCAGTTTTTCAATTCCTCCTGATATATATTTTAAATAAGGTAGGTGATAAACTGCACCCCTGTCTGAGTCCTTTTGATGTCAGGATGGATTCCGATAGGAACTTCCCCTGTCTGATCATACTTTTTGAATTTTTGTACATATTCCAGATTACATTGATATATGTTTTATACACATTTGTCTCAACCAAGATTTCAAACAATTTCTTCAAAGGCACCGTGTCATGGGCTTTCTCTAAATCTATAAATACCAGATGCGTGTCCAAATTTCGAGCTCTCCTTTTTTCAATTATTTGCTGTAACACAAATATGTTGTCTGTACAAGAACGCCCACCTCACGCTCCTCGTGAGTACTATGCTATAATTTTTGTTGTCCATCTGTTGTCCGTTCTTCTTGCCAGGTGTCCTGCCCATTGCTATTTGAGGAATTTCACTCTGTACCCGCTCTGTGGATTAGGTTAGGTTAGGTTACGCTCTATTCTTTTACGGTCTCTCTTGGTTATTCCAAGTATATTTCTTTCCATTGAGCGTTGTGCGACCTGTAGTTTCCTTATTATGTCCATTTTAAGTGATCAGGTTTCGCATGCATCGGCCATGACTGGTAGTCCATATTGGTCGAATGTTTTCTTCTTTAGATAGAGTGGCATTTTAGATTTGAATATGATGGAGTTTCTACCATGTGCTGTGTATTAGTTGTCCCAAATATATATGTTTTACTATTTCCAGTGTTGTGTTATTTATTAGAATGTCTTTTCTTTCCACTAGTTTGTTGTACATAACATTAGTTTTTGTTAAACTTATTTTGAGACCCACTTTATGGCTGGCTGTATTTAGTTCATTAATTTGGGCATGTAGTTCTTCAGGACTATTGGAAATTAGGACTATGTCATCAGCGAATCTTAGATGGTTAAGATATTCTCCATCTGTTTTTAGTCCTTTGTTGGTTCAGGCCAGTTGACGGACAATGTCTTCTAAAATTGCTGTTAACAGCTTTGTGAATATCGCGTCTCCCTGTCGTACTCCTTTGCCAGTTGGGAACTCTCGGGTGGTTTTATATACCATTACTCCTGCTTTGGCTTCTTTGTATATATTGACGAGAGTTCCTATATAAGTTATATAGAAACTAAGTTATATAGAAAGACGATCAAAAAGTTGGAAAAATTTATAACTTTATCTCTTTAATGGATATTTTAAGGAACCCCAAGTTCCTGCGGTACCGGTACTTTGCACCGAGCTGCCTTATGATAGCTACGTTACTGATGGCAACATTATGCATTATTATTTGTGGTAGCGATAGCGGTTGCATTGATTAAACCAAAATAATTCAAAAACGGTTAATGCAAATATAGACAAACTATATAGGTATGTTTGAACAAACATAATTTATTAAAAAAATAAATAAAACATACAAGGTGTTCCATTTTATAAAGTGAAGTTATAATATACAGGGTGGTCTGAACTGTATTCCGGAAACTTCGGCAACATATTCTGCAGATAAAAATAAGTAAAAAAGTTCATATAAATGTATGTCCTAAAATGCTTAGTTTCGGAGATACAGGGTGTAGAAGTTTCATTTTTATTTCTATTTTTTCCAAATAATTTCTGATGTAACGTCAATATTTGGATAAAAATTGGTTTCTGGGAGGTTTCTAACATGAGAAATTTGATTTCGATGTCAATATGGCTCCTACTTGTAGAGGGCGCCACCTACGCATTTTTTAACTGGTTTGAAGAGTAATAACTTTTCGTCCGTACCTGTATAAAACTAGCTAGTTAAAAATATACATTTACGACGTTTTTTACGTAAAAAAGGTCTCTTGGTAAAAATCGCTACGAGTAATGGTTCTCGAGATATTTGGAATCGAAATTACCAAAATCTGTCATCATTGACATAAATTAAACATGTTGACTAATTAGTTATTAGACTAAAATCATAAATTTGATATGTTTTTGTGCCAAAAGTTCAACAGCAACTGTTTTTTCATCATTTTTTCGAAGAAAAATTTATGATTAGTTTAAAACAATAAAAAGTTCCCAAATTTCTCATTTCATTCAAATAACTATCTACTCAACATGTTTATTTTTAGTCAGTAATGACATGTATTGACTATTTCCATTGTAAATATCTTGAGAACGGTTGCTCGTAGCAATTTTTACCAAGAGACATTTTTTACGTAGAATATCACGGAAATGTATATTTTTTCACTCGGTAATTTTATACAGGCACGGACAAAAAGTTGTTACACTTCAAAACAGTTAACACACATGTAGGTGGCGCCCCCTAGGAGTCATATTGACATTTGACATCAAAATCAAATTTCTCATGTCAAAAAACTCCCAGAATTTTCATCCACATATTTACGTTACTTCAGAAATTATTTGTAACAATCGAAATAAAAATGAAACTTCTACACCCTGTATCTCCGAAACTAAGCATTTTAGGACATACGTTTTTATGAACTTTTTTATTTATTTTCATCAGTAAAATATGGCGGTCGAATTTAAAATACCCTGTATACAAAAAACACTCCAAATCTTAATTAGCTGTTTTGATAAGTAGAATATATAAGCGCATAAAGATTTACTGTTTATACACCTACAGAGCCCTACCAAACAACCCACGAGCACATACACACCGAACGGAGAACAACAAAAGGCGCCGAAATACGGCGGAAGGGGGGTACTGGGGAGAACTGGGGGGCCGGTGCCCGCCGAAACGAGAACACTCTCACCTTCACCTTGACTTGCCGCTTCGATCAGTTTCAGTTTTTTTTTGCCGGCCGGCGTTTGACTTGCAGAGGACAAACACATAATGTTGACCTTACTAGTTGTCGTCATCGATTCGACAGTTGTTATGACGCTGTAACGTCGTGCTGCTTTTATAGTACTCGACAAATCATAATCCATTGTTTCGAGTTCAAAAAACTTTCGAATTCAGCTATCGAATCTTTCAGCTACGGAATTGTTTCACACGCTTCTGGTGGTTATTGGGATACGTGATTTTTTTTGGCTGAAATCACTTATAAAAAAAGCAAAATATTCAGTATACCTATAGCCTTCCAAACAAAAAATCATAAAAATTTATCTACGGAAATGCATAATTTTCTTTTTTCCTAAGAATACCTGCATTGGGGCGTTTTATGAGTGGTTGCGATATTGTTGAAATTTCCATACTAGGATTGCTAAAGATTTTATTATTGTTAGAAATGAATACGGCCTCTTTAAATTTGCGCTTTTTCCAATGGGGTTTTTTGTGGACAACCCGGGCTTCCGACCGTTTTATATTGCTGTGCTTGGACCACACATGATCTGCAATGCCCGACTTCATTGTTTTACCCCTTTGCGTATGTTTTTTATGTTTGTCAAGTCGTACATCTAGAGGACGTTTCGTCTCTCCAATATACGACTCACCGCACTCGCAAGGTACCTGGTAGATGCACTCTTTCTCTTGGTTTGATGATTCAGGTTTTGTTTTTGTTAGGACACTTCTTAGAGTAGTCCCAGACTTAAAAACAGTTTTAATTTTATATTGCTTAGCTGTTCGCCTGATCTTCTGCGATGTTCCTTTCACATATGGAATCGTCAAGAGAGAGAGAGAGCATCCTCCTCAGGCTGGCACACCAATGAGTCGGACCTGCAATTGGATATAATATTGTCTAGGGATTTTGCAGAGTAACCATTCTGAAGCAAATCGGTTTTAATATTATTTAGTTCAGAATTCAGAGATTCTTGGTCACTGCATATACTGATTGCTCTATGACCTAGTGTTTTAATTATACCTCTTTTGGTTGCTTCAGAATGGTTCGACTGAGAATTTAAATATTGTCCTGTATGTGTTGGTTTTCTATATACATAAGTGCTAATGTATATCCATCGCTTCTACTTACAAGAACATCCAGAAACGGCAGACAGAAGTTTTTCTCTTTCTCAGTCGCGAATCTGATTAAGTTATTTCGTGAATTAAGATGGTTAAGAAAGCCAACTGTCTATCGGTTCCGTTCCAGATTATAAAGGTATCATCAACATATCGAAGCCAGATTTTGGGTTTGACGACCGAGGTACTAATGGCATTGGTCTCAAACAATTCCATATATATATATTCGCTATCACATTTTGTAGATATACTTAAGAAAGTAGAATTAGGTCTTTCAGACAAATTTGTCAGTTTTGACGTAGAGAATTTATACACCAAGGTCCCTTTAGAGGAATCGGTAGACATAGTCGAGGTTGAGGGATGACGTAACGTTTTCCGAAAGGACTTCGCTGCCTCTTGGATGAGTGATGGAACACTTGAGGTGCTGTTGGCATAATTCTTATTTTCAAGTTAAAGAAAAGTTTTATGTTCAAAATGATGGTTTACCTATGGGTTCCCCGCTTTCTCCAGTGATAGCGAATATATATATGGAATGGTTTGAGACCAATGCCATTAGTACCGCGATCGTCAAACCCAAAAATCTGGCTTCGATATGTTGATGATACCTTTATAATCTGGAACGGAACCGATAGACAGTTGGATTCCTTTCTTAACCATCTTAATTCACGAAATAACTCAATCAGATTCACGATTGAGAAAGAGAAAAACTTCTGTCTGCCGTTTCTGGGTGTTTTTGTAAGTAGAAGCGATGGATCCATTAGCACTTCTGTATATAGAAAACCATCACATACAGGACAATATTTAAATTCTCAGTCGAACCATTCTAAAGCAACCAAAAGAGGTATAATTAAAACACTATGTCATAGAGCAATCAGCACATGTAGTGACCAAGAATCTCTGAATTCTGAACTAAATAATATTAAAACCGATTTGCTTCAGAATGGTTACTCTGCAAAATCCCTAGACAATATTATATCCAATTGCAGGTCCGACTCATTGGTGTGCCAGCCTGAGGAGGATGCTCTCTCTCTCTTGACGATTCCATATGTAAAAGGAACATCGGAGAAGATCAGGCGAACAGCTAAGCAATATAAAATTAAAACTGTTTTTAAGTCTGGGACTACTCTAAGAAGTGTCCTAACAAAAACAAAACCTGAACCATCAAACCAAGAGAAAGAGTGCTACCAGGTACCTTGCGAGTGCGGTGAGTCGTATATTGGAGAGACGAAACGTCCTCTAGATGTACGACTTGACGAACATAAAAAACATACGCAAAGGGGTAAAACAATGAAGTCGGGCATTGCAGATCATGTGTGGTCCAAGCACCGCAATATAAAATGGTCGGTAGCCCGGGTTGTCCACAAAGAACCAGGTACCAGGTACTTTGCGAGTGCGGTGAGTCGTAGTGGAAAAACTCATGCTTGACTGCACGCAACAAATTCACGGGTGAATGCTCGGCTCTAGTATATAAGCTCAGTAGTTTTAGGATTTAGTTTAGTTCACACTTGATAACGGTCAGTGATACTTCTGACAGAAACGTTGTGTAAGCAAAAATAAATAAAGACTTTTAATGCCTAATATTTAGTTCAAATAGCTATTGTTTCTTAAAGCAAATTAAAACTTGACCCGAAAAGTTATACAGGGTGAGATAATATTAATAATGAACATTGGTCAGCTTTAAAAGCAAGCTACTTTTTTATTTTAAATGGAACACCGAGTATATTATTCCGAGATTCAATAGAGAATTCATGTCTCTTCAAAATGCTATTAAGGTTGCCTATCCCTCAAACAAATAATATTTTCCTAGATATTTTAATTTTTATAATTTAGTGTCAGTAGATCTTTATTAGATTTATTAGAGATTATTTGATAATATCTAAGTGGCTGTGATTTGTCTGACGTTACTCTCAACATAGCTGTCTAATTGGTCCAACTTTAACAACTAGTTATCATTTTGTGTCAGTTAAAACAAAAAAAATCTCAGAAATTTGCCGAAAATGCAAAATTATCCTACATCAGAATGAATTCATATGATTCTATTAGTTGGCGAATGCAGTGTCCATTTACTAATTACTAGAATATTTAACTGCTCCTGATTTTATCTAGTCTGGTTTTTTTATACGGTTGTTAAAGACAATGTTTACAAAACTTTACCAACTATTGTCGACAACATGAGAAAAATAATTGTAGCACTCCACATATGCCTTTTAAAATGAAAAGATCTTTTGAAAAGAATACAGGAAAGAAGCATTTTGAGCATTTGATTTGACCGAGCTAATTTTTGTCACATAATTATAGGTTTATACCTAGTTTTAATTCTGTAATAATTAAAATATGTTTTAAAGGTGTAACTTTTAATTACTGTTGAGTATACTCGTATTACTCTACATCCTTTAATTTTTATTAAATTAACTAAAGCTATATCACAGTCACCTAGACTTTTTCAAATAATAATCTACTGACGCAAAATCGTAAAAATTAAAATATCTAGAAGAATCTGTTCTAGAAGTCTGAGGGGTAGGCAACCTTAATAATATTTTGAAGATATATGAATTCCCCATTGAACACCGGAATAATATACTGGGTATTCCATTTAAAATATAGCAGTAACTTGCTTTTAAAAGTGACCAATGTTCCATATTAATTTTATCTCACCCTGTATAACTTTTCGGGTCAAATTTTAAGTTGGTTTAACATACAATGGTTATTGTAATTAAATATCAGGCTATATACGGGGTAAATTAAGATTAAGGTAGATGTTATTGAAATTTAAAATTTACTCTTCGTTTTCACATAATGTGAAATATGTCAAAATCCTTACAGTTTAGGCATATGCTTCAAAACTCACCTTTATTTTTTCCTAGAATCCGAAAATCAATTAATATATATAGGGTGTTCCATTACAAAAAACACAACTTTGATGTGTAACTTTTTGGGGACACACTGTATACCTATATATTTTTATAAAATGCTTTCAATTAACCTACATATGCTCCCAAAAATTCATTTCCATATAAACTACGGTTCTCCTAGGAGCCTCAGTGTCGTATGAGAGGCGCCACCCTGTACCTATAAATAATTTTTGGAAATATTTAAATAAATATTTGCTTGGATATTATCCAAACTAAATTTTGAATGCCACATTATTTTTATTAAAATCAAAAGTAACGTTCAATTTTTTTACTATAATAGTAAAAAATAAATATTTAAAAAGTAATTTTCTTCCTTAGGACGTCAAATCAGAAATTTTACCGATTTTTCAAAGAACATATCTGACATTATATTCCCAAATTTTATAAACATTGTAGTCTCGATAACCTCTAATCTATATTAAACGAATTTTCAAAATACCTGTTTTTATCTGCATAACATCACGAGCTGTCTACGGTCTCTTGTACCAAATAAAAATTATAAATGCAATTCTTTTTTGGCGCGATCCTCGGAGCACAATTTAAAAAGAGAAAATAGTACTAAAATCGCGAACCGTATCATTTCATTTCGAATTACACGCGACAATAAAAGTTTGATATGACAGCGTAGACCTTGAACTTCTCCAAATCACTGGTTTTGAGAGAATGTTCATTATTAATTATAGGACGTCTATCGGATGAACGGACTTTTGTCCTTGTGGCAACCGAAAATGCATTGTGCAGCGCAACTGAGACCAGTTTTTGCATCTCAACGTTAATCAACTGCTAGATGCCGAGATACAGTGGGTCCGTCTACATCTTTTTTAATTGCTTTTTTATTTGGCGATGTTGTTGTGAACTATCCCACGTTATTATTTTATGTTAGTGTGAGTAACTACTATTTTCAATTTTACAAAATTATTATATCGGAATACAGAGAGATGCAACTAAAATGGGTTAGATTTAGAATTTCCTTCTAAACCGCAAAAAACTCTAAATTTCGCTTCAAAATTTAAATGTTATGCAGGTTCGGAAAGATTATTCCAAACCACTTATACAGGGTGATCCGAACTGTATTCCGGAAATTTCGGCGGCACATTCTGCATATAAAAATAAGTAAAAAATTCGTATAAATATACTAGCGTGTACCAGCGACTTCGTTCGCATGGAATTGATCATTTGTAATGGTGATGATAAAGCAAAGCAAGAATTTCCATTAACATACAAACTGGATAAAATTTTCTCACATTTATGTCAGCAGGAGAAAAAACAATATGGCGATTTTATTATATAACTTGATAATATTTGAGGGGTAGTTTCATATCGTTGGAATTTGACCTTCGAAAAATCCGTTTGCCAAAAATAAGCTTTTTACGTCAAGCAGTTTAAGCAGAATCGTGGTTAAGAAACTACCTAACTTTTTGGAACACCTTGTATGATTTTTTAAAAAAAATCAAAATATGTAAAAAAACAAATAAATTATGCTTGTCCAAGCGTTTTCCCGAAAGACTAACCGTTTTTTAAATAACAAATATTGTAATATTTGAGAGGCGTTTTCACCCTCTTGGAATTTGAGATTCGAGAAACCCCTCCTTATCGAAACACTACACCCCAGAGTCAATCCGTTTGCTAAAAATCAGCTTTAAAAGTCAAGCAGTTTAAGCAGAATCGTGATTACTCAATGGTCATATTTTATGAAACACCCTGTATAAATTTATAAAAAATCTTAAAATATGTAAAACAACAAAATAAAATATACGTGTTTAAGAGTTTTTCCGAAAAACTTACCGGTTTATAAATAAAAAAATATTTTAATATTTGAGGGATAGTTTCACCCCCTTAGAATTCAAGTTTCGAAAAATCCCTTCTTATCGAACCTCTACATCCTAAAGTCAATCTGTTTTCCAAAAATCAGCTTTTACTTTAAGCAGGATCGTGATTAATCAATGACCAGATTTTTCGAAACACCCTGTATACATTTTTAAAAAATCTTAAAATATGTAAAAAAACAAAATAAAATATATGTGTTTAAGCGTTATTTCGGAAATTTGACCGTTTTTTAAATAAAAAATATTGTAATATTTGAAGGGTGGTTTCAACCTCTTAGAACTGGAATTTCGAAAAATCCCTTCTTGTCGAACCTCTACACCCTAGAATCAACCTGTATGTCAAAATTGAGCTCTTTACGTTGAGTGGTTTGAGCAGGATCGTGATTAATCAGTATGTCAGTCACTTAAGGATTTTATATATTAGTAATGTCCTAAAATGCTTAGTTTTAGAGATACAGTGAGAACAAATTTCATTTTTATTTCGATTTGGGGCAACGGCCCAGCTACGTCGAAACACCGGTTCCCATTAGAACACCGAAGTTAAGCGACGTAAGGCCATACTAGTGGATGGACGGGTGACCGGTTCGAAACTCTATATCGTGCTGTTGTCCAAAAAAAGGCAAAAGTGTAAAATCTATTGACACACGTACACTGCTCATTCACGCCGCCGCACTTATGGGGTATTTTACCTCAAAACCTGGCCAATAATATTTTTATTTTTTTGTTGCATTCTTCCGCGTTTTAAAACGTGAGAAAATAAAGAAATTGCTTCAAACTTTATTTTTTATTGACAAGATTAAGATTGAATTATATAATTAAATACATAAGTTTATTCAGGGTGTCCCTCAATAACATGTCAATACTCGAGGGAGTGATTCCTCAGGTCATTTTATGGAGAAAAGTTCCCATAAACATAGATCCAGAAATGCATTGTTTCTAAGATACAGGGTGTTGAAAGTGAAAAACGCTACATTTTTATTCGATCAAAAAAAAATTGTAACTCCCAAACTCGCACAAATTGGCAAAATTTCTTATCAAGGCCTTCTGAAGAAATACTTAAGCTACAAAACCACCCAGATTGATATACTTGATAAGGTTCGATTACATACTGAAAGTTTACATACCGGAATAACTAAATTTAATCCGATATCTGAGCAGAACGGCAGGCTTTATCCGCTAGTAATTTTGACAGATATGCTTAATATAAAGTAAACCGACGAGTAGCGACAGTCTCGTTTTCAATTTTCTTTGCGGCTGCGCGAAATAAGTAGGTTATCTGTAATATGAAGAAGGGAAGTTGCCACTGTTGCCATTTATCAAATATCTCTATATACTTTACTTCAAGTATGCCTCAAGCAACGAATCATTTTTTTAATTATTTATTAGCTGTAAGATATTTTATACATTCAAATTTAGAAATAAGGATAAAACAAAACAAAAAAAATATGTATAAAACTTTATAATTAATTCCACTTCAAATTATGGGCAGTGTATACCATGTTTATAGGACCACTTCATAAGTTAAGCAGTTAAATACGTAGTTTATCTGTCAAACACGTCAAAAGAGAGAGAAAGAAAATTTGGTCGCACCACATCAGAAGAGCCGATGGTTTCTGTCGCTACTCGGCGAAACTATCGCAAAAGTCAATTTTTACTTTCATCCACATCCCATAGGGAGAACTTTTTCTATGACATTGTATATTTCAGCAAAATTACCATCATCGACAATATTATAACTACCGTATGATCGAATAAAAACGGCGTCAGCGATGGCTATGAAATGAAGATCGCTGTCATTTTATATGTGGCTTCCAAGCTAACTGGACGCCGTTTTTATTCGATCATACGGTATAAACTCTACTAAATTTTTAGCCTTCTACTAATTACTAAATGTTCCAGGACATTAATTCAAATTATTTTATGAGAGTCTCCTATAAGTAAATTGGTAATTTTTCTCTTCCTGGAATTTATGACAATAGTGTCAATAACCATTAAGCATTCGATATTATCTCCAATTTAAGAATTCGAATATAATGAATGAGTATTAACGAACAAAAGTATAATAAATATATAAAACTAGTATTAGTGTAGCAATTTATCGATTCTTGCAGAATAAAAGTAAATATTCAAATATTAATACATTTTTCAATTACAGAAATATTTACTTATATTATACATAAGTAAATATTTCTTGTACCATTTAAGAAGTGTGTTTTAGAACATACGTTTCAGTTTTTTTTTCTAAAACTTCCAAAAAAATATATAATTGTCATTAAATAAAGTTTTAAAAAAATTAGGCTACCCAGGTTCATTAAGAAAAATACTCAAGGAATTTGTTTTTTATAGATATATTCGTAATACATACACTTCTAAAACATTAACTAAATTTGAACATTCCTATTTTATTATTTAATTTTTTTTTATTAATAATTAATATAACTTTTGGTTTAAATAAAAAGACAGTTACAAGTTTTTTTTAAACTGCACCCCCCCCATTTTTCTATGCAGATTTGGATTCACCATAAAATTTTGCATATAGTACCGTATGATCGAATAAAAACGGCGCGGCGTCAGCGATGGCTATGAAATGAAGATCGCTGTCATTTTAAAATTATATGGGAAATGTCATCGATTGTCATTTCATAGCCATCGCTGAGGCCGTTTTTGTTTTGAAAAATGTTTATTTTTTAAATCTGTATCTAAACGAAATACTTATAATATACAGGGATAGAGCATTTTAAATAAATTTATTGCGATTTTAGGGACGCCATAAAAAATACACTCTAAGTTTCCTTGGGGATTTATTCTGTAAAATATAGCTAAGTATTTATAAAGTTATATTCACTCTAATTTTTAACGATTTTTCAGATGTAGAGTTTTTAATTAAAGTTTTAGTAATTAAGAAATCGAATGACAAAGTTCCCGATACTGCTCCATCGTAGCTACGCCCATGTATATTATATTAATTATATGTTTATATATATATTAATACAATCACTTAAATACAATATGATCAAAAAGTTTTATAATAGAACGTTCATTACAGGGGGTAACGAGCAAAAATTATGGGCATAAATTGCATAGGATTTTATAAGTTATAGCTTGCTTGATCATAAAACCTGTTGCTCATACGGTATATAAAACAACTGTCACAAAAAGTTCTGTAGGTTATATATTATAACGTGTACAAATCTAGAAGAGGTAATTTTTACGCGTAAGTTTGCATTAAATATATTGTAATTTTTAATATAAAGTATAAATATTTTTTTAAAAATTAAAATTTTTATATATGTGTTAATGAACTAAAATTACGCAGCGTTAAAAGTTAATGAGAGAGATAAGTGGAAACTGACCGTCAAACTAAAAAATAAGCAATTGTTTGATTTATTAATTGGACCCCCGAGAAGGGAAACGAAGGCGAACACCACCATGCGTCGTAATCCACCGTTGTCTGCGTTCAAAAATGCAGCATCCCTTCCTGGCCCCCCACCCCAGCCGATGGGCCAAGATCCCGGCCAGCCCATTGGCCGAGATCGGCCTATGCGAAGTTGCGAACTATACACGCACGGCGGACCTCCGAAATTAGAGCCGGCCCGGCATCAGAGCGCTTCAGTTGCCGGCTGACCACTAGAACGTGAACAAGTCGTAGAATTCCTGAGATACCTCGACGCGCCGCCGAAAATTTTCGTACTCGTCTTTAGTGAAACGGAATGGAGAGCGCGTCGCGGCCTAATCAGGGCTAGTGCCCTGCTTGGATAATGTCCACTTACAAGGTCGGCTTATTCAATGAATCTCGATCAAGTGCACCCGCGAATATTCGGACTTTGAACATGTTATGACACTAGACGTGTGACCGCTGTATTTTTTGTTTGCTTTTTTATTGTTTTTTTTTACGTCGCTTCGGTTGGACTAAGCGCGAGTGTGGCAGTTAGTTAGATGGCCAACAGCGGTACCGTTCAACAGTTCCAGCAGCCATTCCAGTGCAAGGATTGTGGACTGGTCTTAAATTCGGCAGAATCGTTAGATGTACATCTCCAGTACCATCACAAGGAGACGCTGATGCAGCAGTGGGCCGGCACTGGCAGCAAAATAACACAAGGTGACGAGAAAAACAACAATATGACCAAGCTTGCTGCAGCTATTAAACGTGAGTTCCCAAATTCTAATTCGGTGGCGGCACCAGCTGATAGCTCAGACTCACATAAACGTAGTCCTGAATATCATCGTACCACGCCAGAAGGGTCCTTTGCTCAACCTCCCACACCACAAAGCTATCACAGTGGCTCATCTGAATACCAGAATTCTGCATTTTCACCAAATTTCCAAAATTTTCCTGCAAAAAGTGAAGGTAACTCTCCTGTAACCCCACAACAACCACCTCATTTTCAAAATGCTTTCTCGAATTTTGCTGAACAACAACAGCAATTTTACCCACTTCAAGATACATCTAGCAGTTATGGAGATATAGCAATACCCAATCCAACAGTACATAACAATTTAAGATACCACCCTTATGTACAGCAATTCGAAAGGCCTAAATCTCAGTGTGGTGTACCATCAGCTAGTCCTGCATATCCACCACAACCGACACCATCCCCTAGTCCGAAGCAATGCGATAAATGTGGTTATGTTTGTGAATCAGGAGCTCAACTTATAGAACATACGAATCTTAACCATTCCAACGCACATCCAGGTTCCCAACAATACAATCAAGGTAATCAACACTTCATGTTTGAGCAACAATCCGCCATCAAGGAAGAGGAATGTTCTCAAAGTGAAATATTAGACTTAGACTCTCACAAAGTTGTTCATCCGGTTTGGCCTCATGGCAAAGAAGAAGAAAAGCGTACCGATAGCGGGCCGGCGCCACATTCAGTATCCTCCCTTCTGAATACCTGGTCTACGGAGCATCAACATCAGCAACCCGGTATGTATCAAACTGATCATGGTATGTACTTGAATGATTCTGGTGACCACAAGATATTTCCAAACATAGCCGAAAATAAGATGTTTCAGCCAGGTCAGAAAATATTTCAACCACACCAATTAAGCAATCAAAGTTTTATGAATAGCGGTGTATCTTCATCTAGTACTGAATTGGGTCAACAGAATTATAGACCATTTGAACATCTCCCCACTTCAGGTACTCCGGCCATATCTAGCAGTCAAGTTGCGCAGACTCCCGCGCCAAACTCTGCTGCTCCTACCCCGCCCAATGCCAAAGGCACCAACTGGAAATCGAATGAAGCTCGTAGGCCAAAAACGTATAACTGTAGCGCGTGCAATAAATGGTTTACTAGCTCGGGGCACCTAAAACGCCACTACAACACCACCCTGCATAAAAACGCTGTTAAAGCTAGTGGCTTACCAGATCCAGCCTCCTTACCAATCAGTGCGCATCATCACCCATCAAGAGACTCTGCTACTAGTAAAGATGATTTAAGGTCGCATTCCGATAGTCCTCGAGAAGACTCTCGTGGTGAAGACAGCTCATTAAGTTCTTCTTTCGAAGGGCGAAATTTGCCTGGATTGTTGCATAATTCATATGATAGGCAGGGTGGTCCAAATTTGCATCACGGCCCTCCCGGCCACTCACCTCTTGGACAACATCATGCCTCTCTTAACAACCCAGGTACCATGATGCAAGGTGCCGGATTTACCAATGGCGGTTCCCCAAACGGGGAGGCGGGCCTCTCGTCCCCGGAATCGAGGGGCCTGCTATCTATGGCACCCGGCTCGCACGGTTTCAATATGATGCCGCAAGCGCCTGTATTGCCGGCCATGGAGGCCTCCCAATTCCAGATGTACCCAAACGGGTCGGCCCCCCACGTTACGCAAGTTATGGCTATCACCAGCAACAATACTACTGGTGAATTGCATTTTATCATGCAGAACGATAATCAGCCATTGCCCAGCTTTGCGCAACTGCAAACGCGCCGCTTTAGTGGCGGTTTTGCGAACGTGGGGGGCCTGGAATCGGTAACGGTTCCTATTTCCACCTACTACACTAATGAAGATTTTGAGACGCACGAAGATATAAAGCCCATATTACCCAAAGCCAGCATTAAAATAGAGAATACACTGTCGAACGGCGAGCTGGTACAAGCGTCCCATACCCAAGAGATAGATCAATATTCCTCTAGTTGTGAAATACAATACTCGCCCACCGCTACAAATAACAACCATGATGTCAGTGGGTCAGTACTTTATATAAATGGAGTACCTGGAGGCATGCACGTTTTACGCCAGCTCTCTGTGACTACTGATGCGCAAGGTGAAAGTAAAGAGAATTTTAATGTTGGGCCGGGCAGCAACAGTCCTAGAGTCAGTTCAACCGTTGCACTACAAGATGAGAGCAAAACCAAGTGCTTCGATTGTGACAAAGTATTCAATCGGCCATGTTATCTTACTCAGCACAACAAGACCTGTCACAATGGAGAAAAGCCATTTAAGTGTGCACGATGTGGTAAACGTTATGCCACTCAACAGATATTTGAAGAACATACCAAGAAACATGTAGGGGACAAGCCACATAAATGCGACGATTGCCCAAAAGAATTCAATCACAAGACCGATCTACGTCGTCATAAATGCTGCCACACGGGTAAGAAACCGTACGCATGTTCTATTTGCGGAAAGGGTTTTATTCGTAAAGATCACATGGTAAAACATATGGATACGCACGCACGTAAAAAGGATAAACTCAGTGCAATGAGGAACTGAGATGAGCGTCCATCTCACAATTCCAGCCTTTCGCTCTTTATTCTAATAGATATTAGAAATACTTTTTATTATTGTTGTATATATTCGTTTTATTTTTCAGGGATTTATTTATATATTTGACTAATCATTTCCATGATTCTCTGCAAAATCGCTGGATTATTTTTTCCAATTCAGTAATTTTTTACAGAATCTAAGACCATGCTTTTGCACGGTCTAATTTGCTCAAAGACGTTGATTTATTTATCTCAACAAAACTAACAGCAATACCTCATTATACTCAGATATAAGAATAGATATGATATTTATATATTAACAAGAAAAAAATATAAAATTAAGAGTAAATGTCAATGTACAAATCTCTAGATTCGAGTTTTAAAAGCAAATGGTTATAAGAATTAAAACTATAGTCGAATACACATTCGAATATAGTAATGGCCTCCAAACAACGCAGCCGAAACTAATATCTTCTGCGATGTTTGGACGCTTTCTTTTCACAAGTAATAAAAATAAACTATTTGCAATAAAGTTAATATGATACAACGCAAATTTTGATATTTGTTTTAATGTAAGCGTGAGTCGTTTTGTATATAAGTATTTTGTTGTCAATAGGTAATTTATATATTTTACAGAGACAATTTCAACTACCTCGTTTTAAACTAATGTGCCACTTTGTTTTGATATCCAATATGTGCCAAACTGTTTTATACCGAAAATTTTAATTTATTCAAAACCCACAATTAAAAGATCAATCAGAACTATTATCACTATTTTAAAATGTAGATTTAATGAAAAATATTAAAATTTTCGGTGAAATAAATTATATATATTTTTTTTTCTTAATTTAAGATAGTCTACTCACTTCTAGTGCAATTTGTATAATACTTTTAAGAGTGGTTACGTTATTAGTTTTTAGGAAGCATTTTCTGTAACTTGCACTGAATTATCCTCGTCTAAAAATATTTTTAATAACGAAAGTCGCACTATTCAGAAAATGCCCCCGAATACTAAAATAAATATGTTATAAAACTAATGATTGTTTTGTTAAAATAATTGTTTTTAGTATTAATGATTCGACATTGTATATTTTTTTATGTTTTTACTGTATGATGGAAAACTATCGAGTGCGAAATTTGACTACATTTTTGTTGAGACTGAATTTGATCTGAAATTGATTGTAACTGTATATTTTATTAATACAAAATTTTTTTTCGCTCATAATTTTTTTGAGCATTATTTTAACACTTTATTATATTTAAATTATTCCGTTTGAGTTTATTCTCACTATTTAAATTTGATCGTGATTATTTGGTGTTAAAATCTTGGCAATTGAAATAAAGAAGTTTACAGAAGTATTTCATTCCTGTTGTTTTATTCAAGGAACACCCCCTTCCCTAAAAGAAAATAGCTCACATCTCTTTAGATTTTTTTACCTTTTTTCTAAATTTTATAGGTATATTAAAAGCAAATTTCTAAATTTTATAAATATATTAATAGCATTTTTTTATTTTTAATTAATTCAAATTAACTAATTTTTTTTTGATAAAGATAAAATTATACAGGGTGTCCCAGAAATAAGTGCAAATATTTAAACTGGTAGTATAGTTCAACCCCAGAAACACGCCTATGAGGTTTTTTTCGCAAAAAAACCTTTTTGAAAATTCGGAAAACTTTTGAATTCTTTTTTAGTTAAAAAACATAATTTCTTGATAATATGGGAACATAGGTAGTAGATTAAATTTACAAATAAGAAAATCCAGAAAAGATCCAGTGGTTCTCAAAATTTGAGCAAAAAATAATTTTTTTGGAAATGTTGAAAGTAAAATAACTCCGCTATTTTGGACTTATTGAAAAACCATAAAGAGAAAATATGTTTCTTTTATTATTATATTATTAATTTGTTTGGTTTGGTTTGATTTGCTCATATTTTATAATAACTAAAATTTAACATGCTTTTTGTTTTTAAAAAGTTAGAGAAAATTTTTAAAAATACATAGCAAACGTTCTCCGTTGTACTCGTAAATGCAATGTTTTAGTAGACATAACAACCTCAATATCATCCTAAGAAATAAAATAAAAAAAAATATAATAAATGAGAATTACAAACAGTACGGTACGTAAGGTTTCTGGTTAAAAAATTATAAATTTAATTAGATAAAAAGAGCTAAATAAATAAAATGAAAGGCACCAACTGACGTTTTAAGTATCTAGATATTATTAAAATATAAGTTTAATTGCAAAAAATATACACAATAATTATAATAAAGAAAATACAAAACTAACCAAATTTTTGATTTTTTTTATATTATTTTAGAAAGTGTATTTATTTTTTTATCTTAATGAAGAACTCCATTAATTGCCATATTAAAAAAATATTTAACCATACAAATTATCGATTTAGTATCGATCAATTCCATATTATCTAGTAAACATAATACATTTAGCACAAAGTTATACCTGTCTGAGCGAAAAATCGCTTTAATAGATTATTATACAGGGTGAGTCTTAAATAAGTACAAATTTTTTCAGTGCTGGTAGATTTTAACAAAAGAAAAATATTTTATCTTTACCGTTTTCCAAAATAACCGAGATATTTTAATTTGAAATTTAGAAAAAAATGAATTTTCGCTTAAATTTTGAGAACCACTGGATCTTTTCTGGGTTTTCTTTCTTGTAAATTTAATCTATTATCTATGTAACCATATTATGAATATATTATGTTTTTTTAACTAAGAATTAAAAAAATTTCTAAAAAAATTTCAAGAAATTCCAAATTTTCAGAATTTTTTCTTCGCGAAAGGAACCTCGTAGACGTGTTTGAGGAGTCAAACTATTCTACCCATAGACTTAAAATATTTTATTTTAAGTAAAGACATAGACTTAAAATATTTTATTTTAAGTCTATGATACTACCCCTAAAATATTTTCACTTATTTAGACTCACCCTGTATAAGTTGAATTTATCAGATTTTATTCACAATTTTTAAACAGGATAAGTTACTGTGTTTCAAATTTCAATATACAGGGTGGTCCGAACTGAATTCCGGAAACTTCGGCAGCATATTCTGCAGATAAATCAGCAAAAATAAAAAAATAAGTAAAAAAGTTTGTATAAATGTATGTCCTAAAATGCTTAGTTTCGGAAATACAGGGTGTACAAATTTCATTTTTATTTCGATTTTTTCCAAACAATACGACTAATAGTTTTTGAAATATTTGGAATCGAAATAATCAATACATATCATCATTACTAAAATTGATATTATACAAACATAGATTTATACGAACTTTTTTACTGATTTTTATATGCAGAATATGCTATGAATTTTTTCGAATACAATTCCTGTATATCCTTCCGTATACACAATTCCGGACCATCCTGTATATTAGAGTGAGCCAAAAAAACTAACTTATGGAATTTATGAGTTAAAATGAGCCTAATAACAGAGAAAAAAATATCCGGAAGGCAGGATTTTTAGCTAAATTTTTAAAGGTGTAGATGAACATTCAAAGTATTTCATTTAAATAACACGTAAAAAAATCTTTTTCCATTAAAAGTACCATAACTTTGAAACGGTTTACGATAAAAAAAAATACATCGTGGATTCTTGTAGATCATAAAATTTCCTAAAAAATCTATCTCAGAGTAATCTAGTTTCTTTCTACTAAATATGAAAATTTTCTGTCAAAAATCAATGAACACTAAAACTGATTTAAAATTGATTTTTTTCTCTTTTCAAAGCTTCAAATATACAAATTATTGAATTGAAAAAAATAGTCTCAGCTAGATTTTTTAGTAAATTTTATGCTCTACAAGAATCCGCGGTGTAAAATTTTTTATCATAAACCGTTTCAAAGTTTAGTACTTTTAATAGAAAAAAAAATTACGTTTTATTTAAATGGAAAATTGAATGTTCACCGACACCTTTTAAAAGTGAGCTAAAAATCCTGCCTTCCAGGGATATTTTTTTCTCGGTTATTAGGTTCATTTTAACTCATAAACTCCATAGGTTAATTGTTTGGCTCAATTTTTAGTAGGTACTTCCATGTTTAAAGTATTCATTATTGTCTGTTTTAAACCATTTATTTTTAAATAATCAGAAAAAAATATATTTAAAAAAACCATCTATTAAAGATTTATTGTGAGACTACATAAATTAAATTTAAGTATTTTTCTTTGAAATAGATATTTTAAACAACTTCCCTAGCCACCAGAAATTCATCTTCATCCGAAATTGCTGATAACGTAAGGGCTTGAACAAGCCCTTAGCTACAAAGGTAACAAAATTACCAATAATGCCGACTTACTTACGAGCACAGTAAATTTTTCCATTAGGGCAATAAAAAACAAGTGCAATAAACTAATAATAATTTATTAAACTTGATATAGCATATACAAATTAAAAATTAAAAAAATCGAATCGACGAAGAGAATAGTAATGTTATTATTAATTTTAGAATTATAATAAGAAAATTAATTTACCAGTCGATATCTTGAGGGATTTCTATAAAAAGACCATTTCTTCATTATATTAGCTCTGTATCCTTAGACTTGATAACGTCTAGACGAATTTGCAAAGGGCTTTCCAAGTCGCATCAAGTGGGTCCGATGTTAAATTGTCGAATTTGAGTGCTTGAAGGCAGGTCACATCTTCTTCCGGTTTAAATGCCAAATATTAAAAGAACATTCGAATTTACCATAATCAGTTCCATGCCTCGACTTCTCCAAGGGTATCATAGTTTTTAACACTAAATATTTATTGAAGTTTATTTATTGATCAGTTATTGTGTTGCAATAATAAAAGTAATACTACCTCATAGAGAGTGTCCAAAAATTTATTTTAAATAATTTCTAGCTTTAAAAGGCAATAACTTGTTTAATTTAAATGGAACACCCTGTACATTTCCAGACAATCAGATGCACAATTTAATTGTCTATCGAATTGCATTATAGCATTTTTCCTATTCCTTCAAATTTTCGTAAAAAATGCATTTTCTTATAATTTAGACCTCATTTATCAATATATACCTATGAAATATTGACATTTTAGATTGTTTTTAAAGCAACAAATGTACAAAATGTACAAGTGCTAAAAACTATAACATTTCTAGCCCATTTGTATACAAAAAGAAAACTATTTAAATCTTTATGGATATCTTTTAAAATAGTATACCATTAATTAAATATACCACCATTATTTATTACGACCCAAATATTAATATTTGGGCTGAATTAATTAATTAATTACATACTTAATTGTGTTAGTTAATAAATTCTAAATAAATGTGGATTTGAATCAGAAATCAATATAATAATAAGTTATGAAAATGAACGTCTCTGTTATAAATAAGCATTCGTCAAAAAATGAAATAAAATTTTCAAGGTGTTACTTTTTACCTCATTGTCTACACAGACAAAATTGAGTTTTTTAGTATTTGGAGCAATTATTGTTAATCAACACAAACAGTCAATTAATGTAGTTTGAATACTGGAATTATATCTTGGTCTTGTTAAACAAATATTTAAACAGTTTTTATTTTTTTAATGAAATAAACGAACTATATGGACAATATTAGTATCTGTACCCCTTAAAAATTTGGCATATTTTTAAAAATAATTTAAAATGTCAATATGCCATGGGTATATTGATAAATGAGGTCTAAATTATAAGAAAATGCATTTTCTACGAAAACTTGAAAAGATAGGTAAAAAATGGTATAACACAATTTGATAGACAATTAAATTGTGCATCTGAATCTTATAAAATATACATGGTGTTCTATTTAAATTAAACAAGTTATGGCCGTTTAAAGCTAGTAATTATTTAAAATAAATTTTTAGACACTCTGTATAAGGTAGTATAAATTTGGTAAATAGAAATACTTCAGTACAATATTGGTTTAAAAACTTAAATAAACTTAAAAAAACTGGTTTAAAAACTTAAATAGCCCTATAGAAATAAAGCATTAAAATTATTACTGTATTTTAACAAAAACTATAATAACTATAATAACAAAAAAATATTTCAAAAAAAGTAAGATTAAAATGCGGCAAATCTTAATAAAATTTACCTTTATTTTAATAATAGAAACTAAAAATGTAATAATATACAGTGTGTTCCATTTAAAAAAATACAACTTTGATATTTTTTATTTTTTTTTGTTTTTTTAGTCCAATAACAACTAATAGTCCTCCAACGAACCCGAAACTTACAATTTGCAAAAATCTACTCGTTTAGCTACAATACTCCGTGTCGTATGTGGTGAACAACCCTGTATAAGATAAAATTAAATTAAATTTACTAGAACCTCATCCTTCAATTCGATGTTCTGTTATTTTTAATTCAACACAACACCCCG